CTAATCAACTGATAGACCGGAAATAATATTCCTAATTTGTTACTAATGGGCACTCAATCAGAGCGTTTCTGAAAATCCATAGTTATCAGACAATTTTCTTTTATAGGATCTCTGTCATCGGGGTCGTGTTCATTTTTTCGGATCGAGGTTAACGCGATTGACTGGGTTCAGTAAGGAAAATCGAAAGGAAGTAGAGCAAATCGTTTTACTCTCTCCATGATCCACTGTCTAAGTGTACTGATGCACTATGTTTATCTTTTCATGCATGTCCCTTTAGTTTCCATGAACGTTTTATTACATATCTTTTATTGTTCTAAGTAATACTATAATTACGGACGTTATTAATATCATGCCGTTTTGTACTGTTTGTTAATCTTCGGCACACCGTTAACGTTCTTCGAATGACAAGACGTTATTAACTCGTTAACATATCATAATATGATGCTTGAATAATATGTTAAACAAACGGTGCATTTTTAAAATGAAATATTATAGTCACGAATCGTTGAATTAAAATTAAATTCAAAAAAGTACAGGAAATTATGAGACAAATTTAAAAGAAACGACAATTATAATTTAATGATGGATTAAAACTAAAAACTAAAAAATATATTCATCAAATTTAGATAAGTTATGAATATGTATATTCGTTTCGATACGCTTTGTCAAATTCGTGTTATCAAATCGTCATAATTTATAATACTTTTATACTTAGATATACGTACCTATTAATTTCAGTGTTTTTAGATAAAGATAAAATATAATTATTACAAAATATACCAAAAAATATTCTTAATATTATGAAAAGTAACTTTGTAAATCACTGATTCGGTTATAAGTATTTTTATTTCCAAAGAAAATATTGTTAAACATTTATTTTTCAACAAACATTCTTAACGTATTATAAATAAATCTAAACTGACTTTGATTATTATTTTTAATTATAGGATGGATCCAAAAATTTATTTTTCTACGTCACTGCATTCTTCGGAGTGATAATAGTAACAATAATGATTCCTCTTCTAAGTCCATTTTTACTCTAAATAAAATGTATAAAAACAAAAATAATAAAAATATGGAACTCACGTAGTTCTGGTGTAGTTCTATCGTCGTCGGTTTGGACTTTTAACGACCACAAAAAAATGGTTCATAAGCAGTTGATATCATCGACAGCATAATACCTCAAAAATAGAAAAAAATCGTCCATTCGTCCGTGTGAGTTTAGCCTTAATTATATATAATATTTATTTAAATCTTAACATAATATCAAAGATTAAACTAATTTTTATTATTGTTAATATATAATATATATATTATATATACTATATAAATACATTCGCCTAAGAGTTAAAAGCTCATTTAATTATATAACATTATATGTAGCAATAATAATTTAATAATGTTCAATACTTCAATATTATATTTCAGAATAAAATGAAATTGGATATTATTATCACAGTAACTTTCTTCGACTATTCATTTTTATTGATAAACAGAAATTGAATTGCCCTACATAAAAATCGATTTCTAATAGCATTTATTTTTTTAAATATAAGTTATCGTCACCAATACGAAAGGTCATTTGTCACTAAATGTACTAGAACTAAATTAATTTTAATAACTCGCACGGATTCTTAAGCTCTTTATCTCAAATAAAATCTTACAATTAAAATAAACTGTGAACAGTTTTATTGAAATTAGCCTAATATGGACAGTATGGACAAAATTTATAAAAATAATATTTTTGGCGGTTGTACATAATATCTATATATATCAAAATATTAATATTTATATTTTTGTTTAACTTTATTTATATATATTACAACTCTTGAATTTAAACAGTTAAAAATTGTATAATTAAATATCTTCAAATAAATAATTTATTTTTAAATAACTTGTGTAATTTATATTGTACAGTTATAATATATATGTTAAAAATATATAATTTATAATTAAATACCTTTGTATATTTTATTTTTATTCATATACGAAGTAAATTTAATTACATAACATTTAAATTACAATTTAATTTAAAACGTTAATTATAACTATATGTTGTTTTAAAGTGTCATTAATTATTATGTCCTTGGGACTTAAATGGTAGTCATGATCATAAATAAATATAAATTATGAATATTTAAATTTTTGCTTGGGTAAGTTTTTATAAAAAACTGTATGTTGATATTTTTAATTAGTGAAGTATAAGTTTGTGTAGACAAATACATTTTATAAGTGTGCCTTTATTTAATATGAGATTATTGGCAAAAACAAATAGTATCAAGTGTAAATATGGTAGAAATGTTTAATAGAATATAAAAATATCTTAGTTTTTGTACTCGTAATTATTCTTGCTAAGTACTACCATATTATATAAAAAAATCTAAAATAATGTTATTAAATTAAATAATTTTCTTTGAATTAAAATTTCAAATATTTTATATACAAAGATTTTGGAACTAATTGTACACTGCTATACACAATAAAATCATTTAACATTTTGAAAAAAACGAATTTTTAAATATAATTGTGTTTATAATTTTCTTTTGAGTTTGAGAATTCTTTGAGAAGTCTTTGAACTTGAACAGTTATTTTAACGACGGTTTTAGTGTAACTGTGTGAATATAATAACTTTCATTGTGGGAATAAGTAGGTACCTAATAATTATTTTTGAGAACCAATTAATTTTTGCCAATGCGTTGTATTGTTATTACGACTGAGTTCACAATTATATTTTCTGTCATACGCACCTCGCACGACGTTATATATATTTTATAAAATGATTTTAATTTACACGTTTGTACGTTATGTATTTAACTTCTTGCAATGCTGTGAAGGATATTAACTCTTTTTTACCAATTGTGCATTGTTGTAATATAAAAATATAATATATTAACGTGCATGGCGTGTTCGTAAGTTTTGCGGTTAATTAATGTATTTATAAGGTGAATGCTATAGCTACATTTTTTTTTTACCAAATTTTTTTTCTTCGCTATTGCTTCTTAGTAGGGGATTGTTCGTAGGTCAAGATTAATTAGGTAATATAACTTTTGGGATCAAAAATAAGGTGTATAATTAAGTTTGAGATTTGCCGGAAAGGGGTTGAAACATTTCTTGTCCTCCTATATTTCTCTTAATTAAACTACCCTGTAACGATTAGAAGTTAAGTAAAGTAATATGCAGCAAATTAAGACTGAGTAACTGAGTAATTTACGAATAAATTCAGTTGTTACAGTCATTGCAATATGTTGCAATCTATAAAGAATTCCATTCATTTTAATTAAACTTAATTGTTTTAAAATGCAAATTTCACAATCAAATTTAGTGGAGAAAATAATGCTATGATCATACGTTGGTTAGGTTATTATTTAATTATAGAAAAGAGCGTGGATTATTTGGTCCATTTGATCGCAATACTTTATAGGTACAGAAGTGAATTAAATTTTATATCTAAGCGGAAGATGATTCTAAACACAGCTTATAGTTTATTACAGAATTCATGCTGTTTTTAAATGTTACTATAAAGTTTTTACTTATAATTTTCAGTAAATTATAATAAAAACTCAGAAATTTTAATATTTCATTAAAATATTTGTTATTAAAAATTTGAAAAATATATCGTATCGAAATAAAATTCCAATTCTATGTAACAACGATTAAAATTATTGAAAAATTTCGCTGACGTTATTATACTTCGATTTTATTCAATCTTCAAATGTTTTTTCTGGATAACTTTTTCGAATATTCCTTACTCGTATTTTCAAACATGTGATACTGCATAAATTTCTGTAAATTATTAAAATGTCAAATAACACTAAAAGAATTCAATTAATTTTGATGAAAAATCTTTTTTTTTCGAAATTATAAATTTATATAGCGAATGACATCAAACATTTGTGATTACGTCATATAATAGCCCTCTTTGAGATTTGGAAAAAAGACTTAATGTTTCTTTATAAGCTGATTAAAAATGAATTTTATCACAAAATGGGTATTCGTAATAAAATTAAAATATATATCAAGTTGTATCCGTTTTCAATATAAAAGATGAATTTTTTCGCAAATTATAAATAGCAAGGCTGGGCATTAACGAGTTAAAAGTTAAAATCAAATTAAAACTTTAAGTTAGTTTTATATAAGTTAATCAACTCGTTAATTTTTTTACAAATTAACGTGTTAACTTTAAGGTAATTTTATTTAAAAGTATCTAAATTAAGTTAATTTTAGTGCAAAGAATAATGTAATTATTAAATGTGGTTTTTAGTATATTTATAATTTAATATTTTAATATGAATTTCCTGTAGACGAAAATAGTATGAAAAATAACATTAATAGTCATTATATGAGCTATATTTTATTATTATATTTTTATAACATTGTTATTGTATAAACACTATAAACCCATGGAAATCCTAAGAATATTTTGTGAAAATAGTAAATATCATGAGAGCGAGTTTCGATGAGAGATTAATAACAAAACAACTGTGGTATAATTTCCAATTCAATTTCATTATTAAAATTGTAAATTGATTTGAGTATGAGTTCTGGACTAAGATTTATTTTAGAAAAGTAGATTTTTTGATAGCTAGCTAAAAATTTTGTGTATCATTTTAAATTTCCCCAGTAATTTTCTTGAGCGTAAAAAAATTAATATTATGTGTGCATTTTTTTATTTTCGCAAATTAGAAAATTTTAACTTTAAACTAAGTTAAATTACTTTTTTTCTAAGTTAACTTTTAACTTAACGAGTTAACAAAAAAAAATAAATAACTTTTAATTTAACTTAACTTTATTATTTTAAAATAACTTAACTTAACGAGTTAAAAAAAATCGTTAACTTGCCCAGCCTTGATTAATAGTAACCAACGGAATCGTACAAGATAAAAACTGAACAGTTAATTTTCGGGATGGTATGGGACGAATCAACTTTATTAGAAAGTAGTTGATATTATTGTTGTGGTCGTTGTTTTTATTTCTGTTATAATTATTGTGTTTTTTTTCAGGTGTAACGGAGAAGAAGCTAAGCAGGTGGTCATCGAGACGGCGCTCGGTCAAAACACGTCTAGTGACTCCGAATCATCGTAGTTGTTCACATGCTTAACCACCCAAATTTCACTCTATTTTATTGCTAGCAAGGAGTTTGCTGGAGGACAAAGTTCGGATCGTTATTTTTCCGTGTATTTAACGCATATAGTACAATGTAAATCACGTCTGTACGGCGTAGAATTAAATTTAATAAAGATACACTTAACTCGCAGTCTTCCAGCAATCTCTGCTTATCGATCATGTCCGACTCGTACGGTCTGTGATATGAAAATATTGTGACGTAAACTTGTAAATGAATTAAATGCTTTTATATATATATCTATCTATATATACATATATTATACATTTATGTATATGGTAGTTAATATATGATAGTATCCGTCGTTATTGAAAATTAGTTCCTCCTATAGTTAATGTTAATGTGTGTAACGTGTCTACGTATAAGAAAATGTAATAGAAAACATAAAGTAAAAAAATGTGTAGGTAGTTTGTAACGGCAATAGAGTACCTGTACTGTTCCCACCTAAACAAGCCGATAAATATTAGTACTGATGCGATCAGTTATTTCCTAAATCGTTATCACCGTGAATTGTAAATTGTCAACCGTTATTTCGCGAACAAACAACAGGGGATTTATCGTTTTTTCGTTTGTTGTTACACTTTCAATTTTTATTTTTCTACAAGTTTCTTATACATCTTAAAACTGCACGAGGAACACCCGTTGATAACTTATCAATCGTGACGAACCGTCCAACCGTAATTTCGTGTTTACGTCTTACGGTAACCTGAACTATACACGATGTAGTTCGATTTATAAACCACCTTTTCTCGTTTACTGCTAACATCGATTACTTGGCAAATAAGATGCACTTAAAAAAATGTTCGAATCGTCAAAACGCGTGAGAATCGACGGTTTGCCACAGGCTTGTCGAATTCCAAGCATATTATTATCATTACAAATCTTAACTGTTATGCGTCGACAAACAATTTTATTATTTTTTTATTTTTACTCTTGTGATTTCGTATAAATCCCATAACTATCTCAAACGTATTTTATGAATACTGCCGAATAAAAATATTTTCAGTTCGTACTTCATGCAAGGGTTATATTGTAATGTCATGCTACAGCTTGGAAGGTTTCTATTGTCGTATTATTTAAGGCATATTCTCTCATAGTGTACTTTTAAGAATATTTAAACATTATTTTAAATTATTTATTTATGTATTTTTGAATTATGAGTACATTGATTTAGATTTTAGTAATTTATTTGTTTGTAATAGAATATTTTATGCATTAAATAACCTTTTATTTATTTGTATTTTGTGTCTTAACACCTTTTGTCAACACTTGGTGTGAAATAACTAAGAAAAATGTTTTACATTCATTATTACGGTCTATTATGACGTGTAATACGTGTATTATATCACATTCTATATATATATTTTAGTTAATTTTTATGGTTGTATTCAAAACGATTTGTTATATTCAATGTCGTCTCAGCATGCAGATTTAATGAAATATTGGTACATTATATTTTAGTACTTTACAACTGATAATTTTATTTTTATTTTTGAAATGTAATTTTTTATATTTTTTCAATCTATATAATTTCTTTTTTTTTTTTGACGTTATGAATGTTAATTACATTGTATTTTTTCAATATTTAAGCGGTGTTTATACATTATATACGTATAAAGATAAATAGAAGAATGTAGTAAAAGTGTACAACCTCATTTACACATTTCGGTAAATAACACGATTACACAATAATTAGTGTATAATTTGCTTTTACTTGCTGAGAACGTGATTCGTATATTTTATTTGTCGGAATCTATTATTTAATTTTACAATTTTACTTTTTGAAACCTCGTAATCTAGCTATAATGCTGGTTTCGGCTACATCACTATAATATAGTTTATACTGATCTCTTTCTCTAAAACACTTTGCTAAGTCAAGAATTTCTTGGAACAATATTGTTCCTTATAAAGTAAAGAATATTTAAAATTAAAATATTTTAAATACACACTTTAAAAATTACTTACTTTTTTTACATCGATATTTAAGTTTCAAAACTTCGGGCTTTAAGGCAACATAAACGTCATAAACGGCTATTATCTTAGGGTTATTGATTGAGATTTATATTGTTTCAACGCCATGTTAGTAAATAGTTCATTCAGTCTAATCGATATTTAAATAATGTGTAGATTTAGTATATTCCATACTATTACTATTTAATTAGTTTGTTGAACGGTTTAGTAAGACAATAGTTTAACAATGTTTAGCATTTTGAATATGAGCTATACATTTTTAACGAAATTTCAACAAAATTTTCACCAACTTGTTTTATTCTAGATTGTCCTTTATATATTTTCCTGGTAAACAATATTAACCGCAGTTTCTAAAATAACATATTTTTAAATATAATTATGAAAAAAATGTTCAGATTTTCCTTGTTGATAAGTCATATACAACGTCAGTTGACGGGGGAAAAGAAATAAAATATTACACTCGACCATCCTTTCTACTTAATATGTTAAACATTTGGGGTTTAAATATATTTACCTTACCATTATGATGCTACCTAGTAACTAATTGTACACGGATTTAATACTCGTTTTCTAGTATTTCATTACATTCTCGTGTGAAGTTAATGATGCTTTTTTTGTAATCTAAATTATGAAAAAAAAAATATAAAAATACAATGTTTTACACCACGAGTACATATACTTGAGTTTGATTAAGTGATATAAATGAAAAAACGAATTGCTCATGGGTGTAAGAAAATTATTTAAAAATAGCTTAACCGATTTGAATGAATTCTTTTTATGTATGTAATATTCAGGACAAGGTTTGTAAGTAAAAAATGTTTAGAAAGTGTACCAAATAAGTCAAATATTTATTACAGTTGATAAAATGTATGATGTGTCGACGAGTTGTATCAGTTAAATTACTTAACCGATTTTGATGAAATTTGACAAAGAAAAAAATTAGATTTTGAAGATGAACATAGGTAGCCTATGTGGTCATTTTGTGGGAAAGGAAAAAAAAGGAAAATTAAGTATCTGTAAACTTGATAAGGCACGAATGGGCACTTGTTCTTATGTGCTTACTATAACAAATTAAAAAACATTAAAAGGGACCTCACCGACCCACTATTCAGGGTGTATTAAAATAATTTCCAAGAGCGACTATCTTCTTCTCCAAAAACGACACTCACTGATTTTTTTGATTACTGTACAAGATATTAATTTATAGGAATGTTTCTTCCATGTTGAGTTACCGATGTATAACACTTGGAACAAAACAGGAAGATAATGGAAACGCCAAATTCAAGAAAACATATGGCGGTGAAGTTAGTTTATTGACACTTTTATTATTATCTCGGTAATAATAAACTGTACTATCATAAACGTTTAAAAACGTATATGTATTATTTGCTTGCTTTTTATTTGATGAATCATATTTCGTTTTAATGCCATCAAAAAAATCTAACATTCACAATCGGAGACACGGAGAGACACAACACGAACGCGTCGAAAGAAAACTTCAATTAAATTACGGCAAGAAACACAACTCAAAGAATCAATACAAGAGTGAGTCACGCACTGACATCTCGAGAACAGTGCGATGAATATCTACGACAAGCAATATCCATAACAGAGGTAGCGCATGAATAGCACATAGCCACATTTAGAGTTAGAGATCGAGAGAGAGTGCGAACCAGATACGTGTTAACATGAGCATCATTTGTTCATCTTGCATTAGAATATGCACCAGACATTAATTACTCTTCGTATTCTAAATTTTTTATCGGTGCAATGAACATATTATGTCCATTTAAATAGGTCTTAAATGTTATCATTATAACACCCAATACGTGTTGCGCATCAAAAAAAGTTGTATTTGTATTCTGATCAATCTGACGATTCGAAATTATTTTTGCGTAGAGACACTCGAATTTATACTAGGCTTCCATATTATAACATATGGGGCTTTGATTGGCGTTCTTACATCTATGGACGTAATTTTGAAATTATATTTAGAGTACTGGCCAGGTATAAATTGGGTTGTTGATGACAATATCTATGGATGACTTGAAGTTTGTCCGTATCTATTTTACAAATAGCGGTGAAGAACGTGTGACAACTTGGTGCCACAATGATTTTATCAAAAAAATAAAAGAGAGAGCCATTGTGGGATAGTTAGTAGATTTCGTAGAAAAATCATAATCATCTTATTCAATTACTTAAAACCACAATTATCAAATATCAAACCTTGAGATCTTTGCTGTTTTGGAGCGAAAATTTATTTGGAAGAAATTGCAGATATAATTCACTTGAACTATTAAAAAGTTTTCCAAATTTTTCTCATCAAGATTCAAAACATCGTGTGTATAATTCGATTTTTCAAATGATATCGTTTGGTGCGACAGAAATTAAGAATGGAAACTTTATGCCGACATTTTAAGTTGAAGGTCAAGTTCACCATTTGGCTAGTTCTCTATTACCCAATAATCCAGAAGATCCAAAGTTTTTATAAACATATTTCATGAGTGACTCAAAGAATAAAGTAAAAAGGCGTTTGTCTGTTGCTCCTATTATCGATATACAAATATTAGATGATTTACAAAACGACGATAATATATATATATATATATATATATTTTTTTTTTTGACTATAGTTACTTAACTTGAGATAATGAACTTGACATAAATAAATATTTATTTACACAATCATATTTTTATAATTGTTTAAAAACATTATTAAAATATATATCTTTATACATTTTATAATTATATTAAACATAATCCATTTATATTTTTTACGCAAACGGCTTATATGTACGTTAAAAATAAAACAGTATTATTACGAATGTATTGATCTTTATAATTAAGTGATCAGAAATCAGTGTGTCTAAAATGGTTAAAATAATCTCTAAGACGTTTGGCCATATTTATATGTAAATATTTCAATTAAATTTCTCGATTACAGTGGTAGGTGGCGTAAAAAGTTTGAAGTAAATATGTGAAAAAAACATTTAAATAAATGGTATTTTAAATAGTACAAAACACAAATTGTTATAATTATATTTATATAATCAAATATTAATATTTACTGTAATAATTTGCTGCAATTTCCAAATGATTTACTAATTTAGAAATTGTGTGAACATTTGTTACAAAAAAAGTACAAAAATGTTTATTGTTTCATCTCAATTAATACGACTTTTAAAATTAATGATATTAATTATGTATTTGTAATGTATTACACATAACTAATAGGATTTCTTTTTTTAACTGAGGTTAAATCTACCAATAATTGTTTTATTTTAAGGTGAATATAGCCAAAATTATCAGATTTAATAAAAAAACGATTTAAGAAATTAATAAATAAAAATATAATATATTATTATTGAGTATAAATTTTGTAAAAAAATGTATACAATAAATATATTAATTAATTGCGTATAAATCGCCGAGAAGAATTGATGATGGGGAACGAAAAGCACAGTCGTAAATGTCCGTAGAGCCAAAACCTTCAACATTATTTTATTAACTAATAATTTTTTTCGCATAACTGTTCCAATGCGATCTTGATAATTAAGTTTTATTATTTTTGTTATAAAAACTGCAAAAAGTATGAAAAATATGCGATACGATTTGCACCTAATTTATACCTAAGACCTAAGAATTGGATCACGACATTGGCCTGACTTTCATTAAGCAGACAGACCACACTACCAACGGCCGAAATGTTATATCACCAATGAAATATTACAATGGGCAAAATAGTATATCGAGCAAACATATCTCATAACTAACGACCGATTGGCTTAATAAATTATAGTTTATACACTATAAACTAACACTTAAGTTAAATTATTAAATAAATAAATTTTTTGCATATTAATAAAAAATGTTGAATGAAATATTTATTGAAAAATAAAGAAAAAAATTTAAATTTGTGGTATACAATTCAAAATAATTAAATATGTTATAAGTCAGGTATACTTCATAAAAAAATGCATTTATTGTTAATTTCGTGTTAACGATATTTTGTATCATCTGTTTTGTTATAATCTTATACATTGGATTATGAGTAGAAATGTATAGATATAAGAATATAATTCATAATATAAAAGTTATAGAAACATATTTTCATGTCAACCCATTAATTGTCGGCCTCAGCACCAGGTTACTTTTTACTATTATCGGCCTAATGGTTATCAACCTAT